GATTAATTCCCCCTTGGTCTTCTTTTCTATTATTAAAGAATTTACCAATATATAACTAGACACTAAATCGTGTTTAGTATTTTTATATGTTACTTTTATGTGTGATATTCAATGGGTCATCCCCTCCCTATAACAATTCTTAAATACGCCGCAGGGTTGAACGTTTGTTTAAGTGAATAATGCTACGTTGTTCTATACATGTAGACTGTAGAGTATAGGGGACAGTTAAAACTGCTGCTCCGCGACAATAATAATTGTTTCTATTTACAGAAAATGACACAAGAAAATTATTGCCATTATTCGCAGAGAAAATCCGAAAAAGAATGGTTTGAAGTTATAGAGAGCGATATGAGAATGACTGGTGTTTGTAAGGAGGATGCTAAGGATAGTAGTAAATRGAAATTGAGGACCAGGGTGGCTGACCCCAWTAGAAGGAAAAGAAGAAATTTTTCAATTTTATCAAAATTATAACGTGATAAGATACTATTGACCTACTAGTAATGGCGAATAATATATCATATATTTATATGACCTCAAACGTTTGCATAGTAAGTATGGGGAACCTAGCAATCTAGTTTATTATCTATATCTGCGGAAGATTGTCTTTAGAAGATCTTCTTAGACCGTGGCCGTGAGTCCGTGACCACGAATTAAAATGTATTAATTCATTTATTTATTACGATATCTTAATTCATGACAGTGGCACGCAACAGTTTCTACAATTCTACATTCTGATACTATTGTTATGGTTTGTTATCAATTCATAATTCATAGATTGATAAGGGAATGCTAATAGATGATAACGCGTACGGTAATCATTTATGTGATAACCACTAAACGACGGCATGTAGTTCATAGTGTAGACACTACTCACTAGACAGACAGTTAAGTATGTATGGACTATGGAGAAAATTATTTTCATATTGTGAATTGTGATCTGTATTCTGTGGTATAGACTATTATATACATATTATAGTGGACAGTTGTGAGTAGATAAAAAAATAACCAACTGAAGTACTATCCACACTGGCCGGTGACTGGTGAGTACTTACTGTTTAGTGTGTAATGTATGTTCTGTTTTTAAATTTTCTTGTTAATTCGTTTTCAATCWTCAACATTYGAAATTTCGAAATTTCGAACATATTAACATCCATCAGTAACCGTGGACCCTTGGATGTGTGTTTTATACCTTAAACTTCAATAATAATTGTGTTGCACTTCCAATTTTATATTATATGAGAAGCACTAATAGGTAACTCTTACACACTGCTTTTATTATAATTCATAGGTTTAATCTATACCTATTCAGTCTACTTATATGCAAGCTTTKATTTAAATTTTAAAAATCATTCTTCATTATACTATTACAGCCCAACAATTTCATAAAAATAATTTAGTATAAACATTAAACAATTTAATAGGTAGGTACCAAATATACAGTGTGTTTCCTTTTAAAGGTAACACTAAATAATTCTGTCCAGTGACATTTTAGTTACATTTTTAGTTCTATCTGTGTGCGCATTCGCAATACAACTTGCATTTTTTTAAATGGCAACAGGTGTTTTGAATACCA